CTTTAATTATACTTTATATTCTTAGAAATAATGAATATATATATTATTCTACCGTTCTTTTTTTAAACTTTTTCTTTAATTTTTTTGTTTCATTTTTCCTTATGTATCTTTAATTAATGTTTGTTTTATTTTTTTATTGTGATTTGAATGGATTCTAAATTAGTGCTCATATTATTTCTTTCAATTTTTTATTCTTCTAATTCCTTTTTTTTGTAAATTTTATTATTTATTTATTTTCCCCTTTTTTCTTATGTATCACCTTTAATTAATGTTTGTTTTATTTTATTTATTTATCTTTAATTATACTTTATATTCTTAGAAATAATGAATATATATATATATTAATTTTGTTGACATTTTTAAAATTTTGAAGACTAAAAGACAAAAATATCAAAGGTAACCATATTTAATTTTGTTCATCAACAATCATATTAATTTTCTTACTTCCTTACCTTAATCTGATAACTAATCTCATTTATATCATTTCCTTAAATCACTTCTTTTTTAATTTTTTTTTTTACTTTCTTTTATTTATTTATTACAATAATTAGTTATTATAATCTTTGTAACAAATATATTAATATTTATTAATGTAATTCGATTTTATATTTTATAATTTAATTAGATCATCTCTTCTGCTAAAGATCTACACGATTATACCCATATCAAATACTAATAAAGTTAAAAATAGAAAATGATGACACTCTTCTTAATTCAAATATTTATTTAACTTTATAAAAAAAAAACGTTTTTTCATATAATTTTTTTTAATAATTGCTCACAAATTTTTCTTGGAAGTTTATCTATTTTGCATTTTTTCAAATTTTAAATCATTTCATCATTAATGCTATTAATTTTTCCCCTTAATCTCATCATTAATGCTATTAATTTTTTCCTTAAATTACTTTTTTTCCTTCTTTGTTCTTTTTACTTTCTTTTCACTATTTATTTTAAAATGTTAGTTATTGGTATAAAGGTTTTTGAGTATTTTTTTGTACTTCTATAAAAGAAAATTTTGAATTATGCCTAATTTAAAGAAAATAATTAATTAGGTGAATTATTTTATTGAAATGGAAAACAAGATCTATTTTTTCTCTTCTTAGATTACTTTAGGTTAACCATTATAGTTTTGTTTTTAAAAAAAAAAATGAAATTATAAATTTAAAATTATTAGAAGTAGAATTTTCAATAAATAATGTATTCACAATTTCCTTATCTGCGTGAAATTGATTAAAAATTCGTGAATACTTATATATTGTCTATTTGGTTCTTCGATTGATTTTTAAATAATAGTTAATTACTTCATGTATGAATGATATTGTGTTTGAATTAAAGTTAATTGGAAATGAACATGATATTGTATTAAAATCTTAATTTGGTAATTCAATTTTTTAAAATGTTATAACATTATTGTGTCAATTTTGTTTTTAAAAAAATAATAATTGATCGTTTTCTCTAATGTCAACTTAATGTGAAGATATTATTTCTTTTCTTAATAATTTTATTTAAGAGGAAACACAAATTTTGGCTCTAATCAAAATAGAATTTGCCTTTTTATTTCTACTTAATTTATAAAAAAAATTATTTTAAATTACAATTATACCGCGCAAAGCACGGACAAGTTTTCTGGTTATGTAATAATTGTCAAAGATTATGAAAAATCAAATCACTACACAAAACACAAGTTTAATCGCACGTGCAAAATATTTGTAACTACAAAAATCTTAATTTATAAGTTTAAAATATAAATTTATATTTAAAATAGAATAAAATGTATAGTATGTCATCATTTTATTTAATTATGGTGGTACCCGATCAACTTACGCAACTTGATAAAATAGGTAATATTAAAATATGTAGTCATTTCATTTAAAAATTTAAAATATTTAAGGAAATACATTTTTAAATTCACTTATATATTCTCAACACATCCTTTTATATTTTTTTCGTGGTTGAAACATATAATTTTTTTAATTTTTATTTTTGTGCTAATATGAGACAACAGTGAGACTAAAACTTATAATCATTTTAAAGTGTGTGACCATCTCATTTTAAATTTAAATTATCAAACAAATCGCAATTATTAAAATTAATTTTTAATATATACTTACTACCTCCTATTAGCACATATACTAATAGACTATGAGACTTCATTTAGTTGGCAACGATTTATTTGAAATTGATGCGTATTAATATAGTCATTGTATAAAATTCATTTAAAGTTTTTAATTGTAAAGTAATCTATAACATCCAAAAAAAAATTAGATATAAAATTTATTAGACTTCCTCAGTCTCTATGTATGCAAATACATTTTCAGCCCAAAAAAATAGACATCTTTCTATATAGTATTTATTAGGGAAAAGAGTCTGAAAAATATCTCAACTTTGGCCGAATTTATTATTGCGATATCAAACTTTCATGAGGACCTATTATCCCCTTAGTCTATTTAATACCGTATTTTTTACCCCCTGAACTATTTAATAGTGTATTTTAAAGGTATATATGTGCCCACGTGGACACATTACTATTTATAATTATGCAATTTTTTTATGTCCACGTGGGCACATATATATGTTTAAAATACGATATTAAATAGTCTAGGGTGTAATAGGTCCTCATGAAAGTTTGATATCGTAATAACAAATTCGGCCAAAGTTGGGGTATTTTTCAGACCCTTATCCCTATTTATTACTTTTTCTATTTTACTTTGTTTGTCATAATTCGTTTTTCACTTGGTGTCTGGTATTCACAGAGCCCGATTAAATTCGAATTTGTACTAGAAAGTCCCACATTGAAGGGTAAATCGGTTCCTAATAAAAGCGACTCTTTATCCAGGAAAACTCAAATTCGAAACCTTTGATTAAGGATGAAAGAGTATTTACAATTCTACCACAATCCTTACATAGTTTACACACGATCAAACACATTCGCACAAACTGAAACAAAAAAAATATTACTCAAAAGAGGAAGAAGAAAAGTAGAAGAAGGCATCTTATTGTAAAGCCAATAAACAATATTCATTATAATCCTAATAATTAAATACCGTATCAAGTATGATTCTGACATTTCACGTTCTACGTATTTTGTCACGTTTTTCATTTGTTTCATGAAGTTAATTAATTATTTGTATCAACTAGTCCACATAAATCCACTATATTAATATCACTTCACATTCAATTTGTTGTCACCCTCTCCTCCATATATATAAAACTAAATATATCTTCATCTAAATTATCTTTTATTATATAGTCCCATAGTGGGTCGCTTTGAAACCACAAAATAAAAAATACCCACAAATTTTCTTGATAAATTTTTCACAAATTATGGGTACTAAGAAAGTTTTGGTGTTGTTGGTGTTTTCTATGTTCATGTTTTTTTCTTTAGGGCACGAAGAAGAGTGTCTGAATCCATTTTTGATTGATCAAAATATTTTCGCGAAAGATCATATTATAAATTTAGCGAATGATACTGAGACAGTCAAGTGGATGAGGAAGATAAGGAGACAAATTCATGAGAATCCAGAGCTTGCTTATGAAGAATTTATGACAAGTGCTTTAATTAGAGAGGAACTTGATCGGATGGGAGTTAAATACCGGTGGCCGGTGGCTAAGACTGGCGTTGTTGCAGCCATCGGCTCCGGTAAGCCGCCGTTTGTTGCTCTTAGAGCTGATATGGATGCTTTGCCTATTCAGGTTAGTAATTATTTTGAACTCTCATATGCACCCCTCTGTCCTTAATTACTTGTCCATTTTTGCATTGACACACCTATTAAGAAAACAATGATTGATATAGTGAGTTTACCATTTTATCCCTATTAATTATGAAGTAGATGAATTAAACATTTAAAATTTTCAAGAAGTTCTAATTTTTTCAAAGTAATTAATTGAGGATATAATAGGTAAAAAAATTATCCTTTTTTTATTTGTCAAAATGGACAAGTAATTAATGTCAATTAAAAGAAAAAAAATGGAGAAGTAATTAGGGACAAATGGAGTAGTTAATTAAGTTTGTTTTTGTGAAATTGATTTTTTATATTATATGTTTCTATAATAGTATTTTGATATAGCATTAAATTCAAGTAAAAATATTATTGTAAAAGATTTGACGGTGCAATTTGACGTCCATTGAAATTTCGTTCTTGTTATTAAATGTTAGTTGAAGTAGATCTAAGACAATTTTGTGGGCGAGTAAATGAAAAAAAAATTAATATTTCTTCAATTTCAAAATAGTTATTATGTTTTATTTTTTGAAGTTAATTAATTTGATTAATATTTAAAATTAAAAAATATATATATATTCAAAATTTATATAAAAAATCAGCATGTCCTCCTTTGCCTCTAATTGTTGCTTTAAAACTTCCACATCCAGCTAAAAATTCACCAGGCCTAGATGCAACTACACCACTTGAATACTTATGTACTAAATGCATACCAAATATGGCTTCTACATTTTCTAGAACACCCTCATCTATCATATCTTTAGCCCCGTGCCCTCGTTCCTCCGCGGGTTGAAAAATTAACACAACCGTACCCTGTATATATGCATGAACGATGAATTCGATTAGTACTCCAACGAAAATTTTGGCCTTAGATGAAGGTTTTTGTAGTTAGTTACCTGTAAATTGTGTTGGAGTTGTTGTAATATTTTAGCAGCACCAAGAAGCATTGTGGTATGTGCATCATGAGCACAAGCATGCATTTTGCCATCAATTTTGCTCTTGTGTTCCCATTTTGACAATTCCTATACGCAGATACAATCAAATCTCTTTATAATCATGTTATTTGTCTGATATTCTTTTACTGTTATAATGCAATGTTATTATAGAAAACATAAAATAATATGAAAAACGATTCCAAAAATTAACAAACTAGCTAGGCCGTTATAATGAGATGATTTTATATTTTATGGAAAGGTCTTGATTATATTTCTTGATCTTCAAAGAAAAAGTATTAGCAATGTAATTTTTATATCAAAGAAGTGTTGATATAAATGATTGATATTCTTTTCACATGGTACGAAGAAAGAGGTAATAAAATTCAAAATATGTCCCACGTACTATAGTGAATGTGGTCAGAAAAAATAAAAATAAGGTTTGACTTATACATTTCATTCATGGCTGAAATGTCGCCACCACTGACGCCGCTGCTATTTCTGACCAAAACAAGTAAACTACCACAACTATCACAACTCATTCGTAGAGTTAAACCATATAAATTTTTATTAATATTTTAAACATATAATTTTTTGTTATATTAATATAAGAGAAACTACCATTTATACTGATATTTTTTAGGAAAAGTTGTCTGAAAAATACTTTAACTTTGGCCAAAATTGTTGTTATGATACCAAATTTTATGGATGATCTTTTACCTCCTGTACTATTTATTAATAGTGTATTTTTAAAGGTATATATATGCCCACGTGGACACATTACTATTTAAAATGATGCAATATTTATGATGTCCACGTAAACACATATATACCTTTAAAAATACACTATTAATAAATAGTACAGGAGGTAAAAGATCATCCATAAAATTTGGTATCATAACAACAATTTTGGCCAAAGTTAAAGTATTTTTCAGACAACTTTTCCTAAAAAATATCAGTATAAATGGTAGTTTCTCTTATATTAATATAACAAAAAATTATATGTTTAAAATATTAATAAAAATTTATATGGTTTAACTCTACGAATGAGTTGTGATAGTTGTGGTAGTTTACTTGTTTTGGTCAGAAATAGCAGCGGCGTCAGTGGTGGCGACATTTCAGCCATGAATGAAATGTATAAGTCAAACCTTATTTTTATTTTTTCTGACCACATTCACTATAGTACGTGGGACATATTTTGAATTTTATTACCTCTTTCTTCGTACCATGTGAAAAGAATATCAATCATTTATATCAACACTTCTTTGATATAAAAATTACATTGCTAATACTTTTTCTTTGAAGATCAAGAAATATAATCAAGACCTTTCCATAAAATATAAAATCATCTCATTATAACGGCCTAGCTAGTTTGTTAATTTTTGGAATCGTTTTTCATATTATTTTATGTTTTCTATAATAACATTGCATTATAACAGTAAAAGAATATCAGACAAATAACATGATTATAAAGAGATTTGATTGTATCTGCGTATAGGAATTGTCAAAATGGGAACACAAGAGCAAAATTGATGGCAAAATGCATGCTTGTGCTCATGATGCACATACCACAATGCTTCTTGGTGCTGCTAAAATATTACAACAACTCCAACACAATTTACAGGTAACTAACTACAAAAACCTTCATCTAAGGCCAAAATTTTCGTTGGAGTACTAATCGAATTCATCGTTCATGCATATATACAGGGTACGGTTGTGTTAATTTTTCAACCCGCGGAGGAACGAGGGCACGGGGCTAAAGATATGATAGATGAGGGTGTTCTAGAAAATGTAGAAGCCATATTTGGTATGCATTTAGTACATAAGTATTCAAGTGGTGTAGTTGCATCTAGGCCTGGTGAATTTTTAGCTGGATGTGGAAGTTTTAAAGCAACAATTAGAGGCAAAGGAGGACATGCTGCTATACCACAAGATACTGTTGATCCTATTTTGGCTGCTTCTACTTCTGTTATTAGTTTGCAAAGTATTGTGTCAAGAGAGGCTGATCCTCTTGAATCACAGGTAATTAATAGTATTAGTTATATTTCGCTTACGTTTGGTCGTAAATTTTGAAGTTTGAAACTTGAAAATTTGAGTTTTTGAAGTTGTTATTGTTGGAATATGATGTTTTGTGAGTGGAAGTACCAAAAATTGGTCTAGAAATTCGAAGATTAGATTTTCAATATTTGATCAAATTTTATGGCCAAACAGATATTTCGAGATAAAATTATATTTCACTCATATTTCGTCATAGATTTTGAAGTTGAAACTTGAAATTTGAAAATTTGAGTTTTTCTGAGTGAAAGTCCTATAAACTAGTATGGGAATTTAAAAATATTTGAAGATTAGATTTTCAGTATCTGATCAAATTTTACGGTCAGACAGATATTTGCAGATAAATTGTATTTCATTCATATTTCGTTATAGATATTGAAGTTGAAACATGAAATTTGAAAATTTGAGTTTTTCTTGAGTGAAAGTCCAATAAACTGGTATGGGAACTTAAAAGTATTTGAAGATTAGATTTTCAGTATCTGATCAAATTTTATGGCTAGACAAATATGTGAAGAGAATATTTCAAAAAATCTATGCTTAAATGTTAGCTTCATTTTGAAACTAATTTTTTTTTATTTTTTTTTTAGAGGATAACAAAGAGTTTATGTGTAATTTTTGTAGGTTGTTTCTGTGGCTATGATTCAAGGGGGGTCATCATTTAATGTCATACCAGATTCAGCTACAATTTCTGGGACTTATAGAGCATTTAGTAAGAAGAGTTTCTATGGTTTGAGGAAAAGAATTGAAGAGGTAATTAACTTACTAATTTCATCTGACATACTTTTCTCTTTAGTATCTGATAATAATTTAGTTTTAAGTTTTCTATTTCACCTTGAATGATTGCTTTTATTGCTACTTAATTTGATGTTTAAGGTTATAAGTATTAAATATATATTTCTCTTTTATAAGGTTGGTCAAATATATATATTTACACCAAAACTCTAAGGATGTTTCTATGGGCAAAAATTTTATATTGCTTGAAATGTCAAACTAGGATTACTTTATAAGTCAACATTTGATTTTTCTTTAATTTATGATAAATTATTTATCCAATGCCTCAAATTTCAAACTTCAAACAATAGGATTGCTTCACAAGTCAACATATGTTTTTTTTTTTCTTCATAATTCAATGTATCTTGACTTAAAATATTTTGTATCCAATGATAAATTTATATTATTAATTTGATGAAAAATTCAGATCGTACGAGCACAAGCAGCTGTACATAGATGTACGGTGGAGATTGACTTTGATGGTCGTGAAAATCCAACACTTCCTCCAACTATAAACAATGAGAAAATATATGAACATGCTCGAAAAGTATCGAAAATGATCGTTGGAGAGGAAAACTATAAATTATCACCTAGTTTTATGGGAAGTGAAGATTTTGCTGTGTTTTTAGAGAAGGTCCCTGGATCATTATTCTTATTGGGAACAAAAAATGAAAAGATTGGTGCAATTTATCCTCCACATAATCCAAATTTCTTCATTGATGAAGATGTTCTTCCAATTGGAGCAGCAATTCATGCAACTTTTGCATATACATACCTTTTCAATTCTACAAATAAGTGTACTAATTCTCATTCTTCTTATTAGGAATCATGTAAAGCATTCTTTAGTTTTTTGTTTTTTTTTTTGTATGTTACATCTATATATGATCATTAGTTCCAGTCCAATTTTCTTTAATTTCTTACTTATGATTTATTAAGTAATATGTTAAAAGTTAATATGAAAGACAATGTATGTGTGTATCTCTTTGTATATCATGTATATATTCATGAAAATAAATGTGACATAGTGAGTGACATACAATAATATATATGATGTACACATGTAATATACGTTATCATAATGATATTTTCAAGTCGATTTCAACTCAAAATTTTGATTCAAAATTAGTTTAAATCACTTCATATTTTCCTCAAATTTTGTGTATAGTTAACTATATAGGTGTTCCCTATAAATTTCACTCACACCCATCAAGTTGTGTGTGTGATGTACAATGTTATACATGATATACACACAAATTCCAATGTTGAGTTTGAGCTTGTTCATTGTAGAAAATAAAGTTAATCTATTGGTTTTTGAAGGATAGGGTTTAATCTAACATTTGAGACGACATTATAAGGATATCAAATTTGATTTGATTTGGAGCAACCTGAATCAATTTTAAAGGAAAAATGTGTTGCTAAAATTTTTACACAACAATTGTCAGAATTTTTGGCTAAATTAAATAAATCACCAATTTTCAGCCATAAATATTGAAAAGATCCGGAAGATACATCAGAATTATGCACAGAATTCTAACAATCACTATAACTTGTTGTCAAGAAAGTCTTGCCTAATATCAAATAAAAAATCTTGACAATCCACCATAGTTTTGCTGCCGATTCTTGTATTATAATTATTTTTTGTACTATTTTTATAAAATTGTGGTAACGAAAAATTCTATTTATACAAATCACCTAAAAAGACAATTACTTGGCTTTCTTATTGGGTCAAACTCAAATATGATGTTTACAAGCCCAAATCTCTTTTCACCAATTCAATGGATGACATACGAATGAACTTTAAAAATATAGGTATTTAGATTAGTTACTCTCTTCGTTTCTATTTATTTGACAAATTTTAACTTGACAAATTTATTAAGAAAACAATGATTGGTATAATGAGATAATCATAGAATCCCAAACATATTTACTGGTTGGGTATTTGTCACGAATTTTTTACCATAAATGATTTTTCCTTCTTGTAGGAAAAAGTATATGACTCTATAAATACAGGTTCATTCTTTCTAACTCGGTAGCATTCACAATGTAGTCTTAGATGCTTTGAGAGTTTTTGGAGGGAGAGAAACAGTTCACACAAGTTATCACTTGTGTAGACCTCTTTTTATTCTAACTAAATTGTGTGAGGTTACTTTTCTCACTATTGTGTAGTCTCGTATTTATAATGTGAATTGCTCATCTCTGTTGTGGACGTAGGTCGATTGATTGAACCGTATTAAATGTGTGTCTTTCGGTATATTTCTCGTCTGTCTTCTTACTCATGGTTTTTCGAGGTTCGCTTTGCCAGCTTCCGCATGACATCTAATTATTTCCGACCTAACATTACTCACAATATTTTTCAAAGATATTAACTCAATGTTAATAAATTGAGGGTATAATAGGAAATTTCTTTTGCCCTTCCTTGATTTGTCAAAAATGACAAGTAAAAATAGAAATCAAATTAAAATATATTTGACAAGTAAATAGGAACAGAGAGAGTATTAATGGATTGGTTGGAGCTATTGGTAATTCTGGTCGTTTGATGGTGGTGATTCATTAGGTGAAATTTTGAAAAGTTATTTTTATAGTTGTATTACAAGTGTATGAAATATAAACATAGTTGTAATACGATTCAAATTTAATATTATACATTATTATAAATTTGGTTGTTATTATTTCACAACAAATATAATATATTTGTAACACTGTAAATTAGTTTAAATTGTACTTGAATATTTGAAATTCACATATTCTACTTATAATACATTTGTATTATAAATATTTTAATGATATATTCCCGATGTACATTAAAAATGTCTATAATATGCATGATATATTGAATTAAAAATATATTACAATTTTCGTTTATTTTTCTCTCTTATTAGCGGTATTAAAAATGTATCATACTTAAATTTTAAATATTCAAATACTATTTAAATTAACTTATGTGTTATTATATCAAATTTGTGTTAGAAATATATTACATACGTATTTTGTTATGAGTAAATTTTAGGAATAGCAAAGAGAAAATGACCAAAAGCCCCTCCAATCTATAGCCGGATTTCCAACTACACATTCATACTTCACAGGGGTCCTATTACCCCCTTGGACTATTTTAAAGTGAAACTATTTGCTCCCTAAATGCTGATGTGGCAAAGAAGGTGTAGTTCACTTTCTTTGGGAGAGTGAGAGATAAAAAGATAATTAAAATATTAACTTTATAAATATTTAATTTATTTCACATTAATATTCTATTTTTTTTAAGAAAAGAAGAAATTGTGTTTCCTTTTATTCTTTTTATCTTCTTTATCTTTTCCCTTTAATCTTCATCAGATCCATAGATACTGGTGGCTCACCTCGACCACCAGGTCATCGCCCTCCTCAACTTTTCATCACTAAGGGTGTGTTTGGTATCAAGGAAATGTTTTCCAATTTTCTCATGTTTTGTTGGATTAAATGTTTTGGAAAAATGTTTTCTAAATCAACTCATTTTCCTCAAATTCAACCAAAATGACTTCCCTTCAAAAATCAAGGAGAACATTTTCCAAAACTTTCCACCAATTTCAAATTACAACTTTTTTGTTGAAAAAATCAAATTTTTTTTGTTGAAAAAGTAAATTTAAAGCTTATTTTTTAAAAAATATTTTTCAACTTCAATTTTTTTATCCCACCCTCACCCGACCCACCCCCCTCCCTCCAGCCCCCTACCACCCCCACCACCACCCCTAAAAAGAAATAAATTAAA